TTTTTTTAATTTACGATTTTGCAAGCTCAGTCGGATTAATTGCTTGATAAAAACAAGCTTCAATGTGGTAAATGTTGCACTTTAAGAGGGTAATCTTCTATTTTCGAAACATGCGTTTGGTGTTTTATATGATTGTGCTAAGCAAACATGGGGATGTTTTCTGTAATTATCGGTTTGTTTGTTGTGTGAAAGCACTCAGATCTGTTACCACCCTTTAAAAGTTTGTCGCATGCTTATTTTGATTAGTAAAAGTTCTAAATTTAAGCTCTTTAGAGGAAAAGAGGACCAATTGGTATGCGGAGTACCCGTGAAATTGGAGAGTACGGTTTCCATGCATGGACAATTTGAATTATTTTGATATTTTCTTGGGCAAAAATTTCACCTTTTCGATTTTTTCTCTCTGTCCAACCATTTGGGTTGTGCATTTTTAATGTAAACAAAGACAATGAAGTTTAGATAAATTTTAGGCATGTTTAACAATCTTAGTGTAAATTGTATAAATGGAATACCTTTGTTTTTTCTTTCCCAACTTTTTAGAATACGGAGCTTTTTATGTCAATTGTACTGTCCGTTTATGGATTGGTTGCTACATTCGAACATAGAATTGTTGTTCCTACTTGGAATTTGATTCAACAATAGCATTGACGTTTATTCTGTTTGAACTTTCAGCATCAGTCACATTTAATTATATTCATTTTATATATTTTCTGAACATATCGAACTGATATTGCATCTAATCAATTATTTTCTACTAGCGCCATGTTTTATGTCTATTGAAAGATTGTTATTTAACTTGAAGTAGTTTCCATTATTTTTCAAAGTGATGATCTGATTGATCTCAGTCCGTTCCTGACAGTAAACGATTTATAGCATTCTCTGTTTCCGTGTTTCCTTCCTCTTTAGGTGGCTGAATTTTATACACTCAGGTACTTCCACCCCTTGTTAGGCCAACATTCATAAATTATTCTCACTATGTCTACTTGTTCTGCAGCCTGTGAAGCCGGATACAGCTGTTGAGCAAAAACGAAGCAAGGTCGAGATCTTCAAAGAAAACAGCAACTTCATAAGATACCCTCTAAACGAGGAGCTATTAACTGATTCCCCCAACGTAAACGAGGCTGCAACACAATTAATCAAGTTCCATGGCAGCTATCAGCAGTACAACAGAGATGAGCGTGGGACCAGGTCTTACTCTTTCATGCTCCGCACCAAAAACCCTTGTGGAAAGGTCTCGAACAAGCTCTACCTCGTCATGGATGACCTAGCCGATCAATTTGGGATCAAAACCCTTCGTTTGACGACCAGACAGACCTTTCAGCTCCACGGAGTTCTGAAAAAGGATCTCAAGACCGTAATGAGTGCCATCATCAAAAGCATGGGGTCCACACTCGGCGCATGTGGGGATCTGAACAGGAACGTTCTTGCCCCAGCTGCTCCATTTTACCAAAAGGATTATTTGTTTGCACAAAAGACTGCAGAAAATATTGCTGCGCTTTTGACTCCTCAGTCAGGCTTTTACTATGATATGTGGGTGGATGGGGAAAAGTTCATGACTGCTGAGCCTCCAGAGGTGGTGAAGGCCCGAAATGATAATTCACACGGCACAAATTTCCCAGACTCGCCTGAGCCCATCTACGGAACTCAGTTCTTGCCGAGGAAGTTTAAAATTGCAGTGACTGTGCCGACGGACAACTCGGTGGACCTTTTTACCAATGATATTGGTGTGGTTGTTGTCTCTGATGCTGATGGAGAGCCACAGGGGTTTAACTTATACGTAAGTTCTTTTTTTTCTTTTACTTTCTTTTCATATTTTCTGCCACGGCGATTAGGGATGTTCATTAAAAATTTAACCTAATTACATAGAACTTCAGTTATTTGATCAAAATTTAAATATTATCTGGTATGCCGTGGGTTTTGCATGCATCTAACTAGTATGAGCAAAATTGAAATTTTGGCTCTGTAAAGTTGGGGCTCTTCAGTTGGGAGGTGTGACCTTTTGGAATACACATCTGCAAATTGGTCTCAAAATCGTAAAAGAGAAGAATACCATTATTTTGGCCCTTAACCACCGGAAAGTACTAAGAGTGGACAGAGTGCCTTTCTGGCACTAAAAGCTGTTGTACCAGATACCTTTCTGGCACTTATAGCTGTTGTGACATTGCTGTGGTCTTGTAATTTCTTTGCACCGGGTCAGTCTTGAACACTTTGCAGGTGTGAATTTTGACCTCTGTTAATATTAGTTGGTGATTAAAAGACCAAAAATATATATTTTTTTAGTTCTTAGTTTTCAAAAATACAAGATCATTTTTCCAACATGTATAAATAATGTCACATTTGCAAACCCCTTGAGGTTTATAGGACCGATGTCACACCCCCTTGTTGAAGTTGCAATCATTAAGAGAGTAAACATGAAATGGGTACTTATTTTTTAAAATGATGATTGTGGCACTTTTTGTTTTTCTTCTTTTTCTCTCCTTAAAATTAGGCTAAACATTATGAGTTGCAAACTCACTCTTAAAATTTTTTCGATAGGCTAAACATTATGAGTTGCGAACTCACTCTTAAATTTTTTTCGAGCATGTTGTTTGTTTAACGATGTTGGTTCAATTTATGACAATGGTTACAGGTAGGTGGTGGGATGGGAAGAACGCATAGGCAAGAGAGCACCTTCGCTCGGCTGGCAGAGCCTTTAGGATACGTGCCGAAAGAGGATATTTTATATGCAGTGAAGGCCATCGTAGTTACACAAAGAGAAAATGGTAGAAGGGATGATCGAAAGTACAGCAGGATGAAATATTTAATCAGCTCATGGGGAATTGAAAAGTTCAGAAATGTTGTTGAACAGTACTACGGAAAGAAATTCGAACCTTGCCACGAGTTGCCTGAGTGGGAATTCAAAAGCTACTTGGGATGGCACCAGCAGGTCCGAGATATTTTGATTACATTTCTGATCTCTAATTCAGTTACATTTTACTAATTTAAGTTTGTGGCATTTCTGTAATCCAGTCTGTGAAGCTTTTCTCTCATCATCTTTGTTTGTTTGTTCGTTTGTAGGGTGATGGTGGATTATTTTGTGGCCTCCATATTGACAGTGGTCGAATCAAAGGGGTAATGAAAAAGACTTTAAGGGAAGTAATTGAAAAGTACAACTTGAATGTTCGTATTACACCAAACCAGAACATTATCTTGTGCGATGTCAAACAAGCATGGAGACGCCCCATCACTACCGCTCTTGCTCAGGGTGGTCTCCTGGTGAGATTTTCTGTGATTTAAAATTATTGTGTAATTTGTAATAATGTCTGAGTTTCAAAGTATTTATATGGCCGGTTCACATGTCCGTGCAAAAATAGACAAGGGTTGATTTCTGGAAAAGTTGAGAATGCTGGTGCTTTAACATGGAAATATGTTCAGGTTCTAGCATAGACGAAACGTTTCATGTAGAAGGGAAAAATAAGTAGGTAGCCGGGTAAGATGATGAATAGATTATTTGTTTTGTCACTGTATGACTGGATGATGAAGGCATGATATCTATATATCTATATCTATATATATATAATTGATGGCTAATAACATTTAATAAAACATTTAATAAAACCTTTTCGATTTCCCTCCAAAAACCGTTACAAGTTTATCATTTATATCTCTCTCTATATTTAATTACTAATAATAAATTTAATAATCTATATCTATATATATAATTGCAAGCTAAACAATAAATTTTACCTAATAAATAAAACCTATTTAATTTTACCTAATGAATTTTACCTCATTAAACTTTAGTCTCAATAAATGATAGAGAGGAGAGAGAAAAAAATAAAAAGACAATATT